AATTTGATGAATACACAAACACGATGAAAGATAATCTAGCACAGTGTCTGTAATGGTTGTGGGATAATTAGAGCATAACCCAACTAGTAAGAAACAGCCCAATACCAATCCTATTAACCTTATTAAAGTACTAGTCCAACATTGGAATGAGAAAAACTTAAACATTTATCATTCACAACTTTATTAAATCTCTAGAAGTGTGATACAAATACACACGAGAAAACGCAGTGCCAGAAAAATGTTTTAAAGTGAAAAAATAGAAAATAAATAAAATTGGACAAGCAGATGGATCCTATATAGATAGTCAGAATGATCTCCCAGCTTGGAAATAGACTAGAAAGCAGGTGAATGGAATCTGATACTATGTTGCAAACTTGCATACAAATTGAAAGAACCAGGCTAAGTCTTTTGAAAGTCTCATATAGTTTTTAATATATGACAATAAATGTAGATAAAGAATAGCAGACTGATCCTAAAGCAGTGTAATGCATCATAGGCACATATTGTAGAGTGAAGAAGGCTCTGTATGGTGTTAACCAGTGACTCTTATTAATCAGCTTAACTAATCATTAAGAAACCAAAGAAAGAAAAGGAAATTGGAATACATGGGGTAAGCTAAAGCAGTAAACCTCAGGCTGAGAAACTAGAACAGCCAGGAAACCAACAATTGAATATGAAGTTGCCCCTAAAAAAATAAAAAAATAAATAAAAAATAAATACTTTGGTAAATAACTGCTTCAGAGTAACCCCTCAAACTAGATATAGCCAGTGTGAAATAAGCTAAACTGCCTCAAGGCAGCCTATCATATACCTAAAATAGTCTAAAAATCGAAGCTGCCCATTTTCCCAGGGAGATCGTTAAGATTTATAGTAATAGCAATTTGCTAAGACATGCAAAAGCTGTCCAGGTATTAAAAATGAACAGTGGAGCATCTGCATAATGCACATTTCAGCACTTGTATGCACCTTTGTCAAGAGCTAAGATCAGACTGAAATCTTGCCTCCTTTTAAAGGGAAAATAGAGCCGCCCCTTTATTCATTTATTTTTTGATTATTTTTTTTTTTTTGTTATGTCAGTGAAAGCTGCATATCCAATTAGGCAGAGAAATAGGAGGAGGGTCATTAGAACCAACAAATTAACCCCTCCAATGCCAGAGGGTCATGAAAGCAAACAAATTAACTCTACCAATGTCAGAAAGCATGTAAAGAATTTCGTAAATCTTAAAGGACCACTCTAGGCACCCAGACCACTTCGGCTTAATGAAGTGGTCTGGGTGCCAGGTCCTTCTAGGGTTAACCCATTTTTTTATAAACATAGCAGTTTCATAGAAACTGCTATGTTTATTAATGGGTTAAGCCTTCCCCCAAAGCCTCTAGTGGCTGTCTCATTGACAACCACTAGAGGCGCTTGCGTGCTTCTCACTGTGATTTTCACAGTGAGAGTACGCAAGCGTCCATAGGAAAGCATTGTAATGCTTTCCTATGCGACGGGCTGAATGCGCGCGCAGCTCTTGCCGCGCGTGCGCATTCAGCCCAGGAGGAGGAACGGAGGAGGATCGGAGGCAGAGAGCTCCCCGACCAGCGCTGGAAAAAGGTACGTTTTTAACCCTTTCCCCCTTCCAGAGCCGGGCGGGAGGGGGTCCCTGAGGGTGGGGGCACCCTAGGGGCACTATAGTGCCAGGAAAACAAGTATGTTTTCCTGGCACTATAGTGGTCCTTTAAGGTATATATCCCTTATAGGGAGAGATAAGATATTAAGAAAGTCTTTTAAAATTGGATGTCCGGTTTAAGCATCAAATGAAATATAGAAGTGTTAGACATAAACATAAGATATTAATGTACATATCTATGTATCCAGTCTGAGCTTCATTTACATATGTGACAAGTGACTGGAACAAAATTAATGTCAATGTTGGATATAAGAGAATTCAATAATAAAACATATTTATAAATGTTTTGGCAATTAAATAAATGGTGCAAAAGAGAAGCCCTTGTTTAACCTTTTAGGTTGAAGAGTCTTCAGGCGATAAATCCAGAAGCTCTTAAGTTGTCTCAGGAGCCTGTCATGATCACTCCTTCTTTGGTTGTGTTTAACCATTTCCAACCCACAGAAACAAAGTCCTTGGGAATCTCCTGAGGGAAATTCCATAAGGTGATGGGTGATGGGGGTCTCTATGCTTAACTTGGGAGACCTTACATGTTCCTTAATCCTTTCTTAGAAAGGATGAAAGGTCTTACTGATATCACACACAAAAAAGGGGGGGGGGGGCTGCTCAATTTTCCTTTTAAAAGGAGGCAACATTTCAGTCTGATCTTAGATCTTGACAAAGGCGCATTCAAGTGCTGAAATGCGTGTTGAGCAGATGCTCCACTGTTCATTTTTAATACTTGTACAGCTTTTGCATGTCTTAGCAACTTGCTATTACTATAAATCTTAACGATCTACCAGGGAAAATAGGCAGTTTCTATTTTTAGGCAGTAGAAGATGAGTTCGTATCAGCTATTTTAGGTAGATGATAGGCTGCCTTGAAGCAGCAGTGTTTAGCTTATTTCACACTGGCTATATCTAGTTTATGAGGGGTTACCCTGAAGCAGTTATTTACAGATTATTTTTTTAGCTATCTTTTCTATACTATTGGCTAACCTCTGTATCTTCAAGGCATATCCTATATGGGACTACTTGTTCCTTTACTTATGAGCGGACCAATTGAGGTCTGCATTCTTGTCTATTATCTATATATTATTATATTGGCTTGGAGCACTTGACCATAAGGGAAATTATACTAGGGGCAATTTCATATTCAATTGTTGGTTTCCCGACTGTTATAGCTTCTCTGCCTGGGGTATACTACTTTGGATTACCCCATACATTCCAATTTCCTTTTCTTTCTATGGTTTCTTAACAATTAGTTAAAGCAGCACTGTCATGCTGAACTTAGCTTTCTTTAATCAATTCCTCTTCTCTCCCTCTGTCAGGATCTGTTCTTCATTTCTTCCTGTCTGCTCTAGTTTTCTTTAAAACATAAGACAAAGTAGGAACTATTTGTCTTATGGAGGTTTCCTACGCCTGACCATCTCTGACCAGTGGAGGAGCAAAGTGTGCTTCATTTCCGGTGGTCAGAGAAATATTTTCACAATTCTAAGCTTTCCTTCCTGTTCCCGCGATACGTCCTGTCATTTAGACAGGATGTCGGTGAAACTGACTAATTGCGTCCTAACAGAATGAGAACAGTTTGTTCATTCGTGTTAGGACACAATTCGAGACTTTGTTTGTATCAGAATTTCATTCTAATGAATGAAACTCCGATCCTATTCATGTTGCGACTGCATCTTGCAACCGCTTAGTAGATAACTCCCTAATTCGCAGAGCTATCTACCAAAAGGCTGTAAGACCCAAATTGGTCTTTCAGACAAATTTACTAAGTGTCAGGGGTGGCGGTCCGGTGCCAGTATGCCTAATATTCAAGTAGGAGTCACAGAGTGGAGTTGGATTAGCAGGGTCTGGTGCAAGGTAACCGCACGCCCCCTGGTGTTGAGCACCAGCGTTTGTGCAGCCACAACCAGAACCCTGAACCAGCTTAAGCGGATCCCAGGAACTAGGAGCAGGAATTAAGCATACCTCCCAGGAGCTGAATAGGGAGGCTCTGCAGCAAGAATGTATCCAGTACAGAAACAAGGCAAGACTAGAGATAGACACCAAACATGGAAACAAGACAAAACTAGGAGAACCCAGAACCAGAGCAGGACAGAAAGCAGAACACAGAACACAGAACATGTACACAAGACATGAGGAAAACAAGAACAGGGCAAGACAGGACTGTACATGAACTGGGAATACAAGACAAGAGATACAAGGTAAAACAGGAGGAGAAATAACCAAGTACTACATATGAAAATCATGGGGTTTAGTCACATTATATGATCATCCATTGCATAAGCCTGCCAACAACGCCAATATACCCCATATCTGGCAGGTCCTACTCTGCCTAATGCAAGCTAAACCACCCAAAGAAAACACACATAGTACTTACCTACAAGAAAGGGCAGAAGACTTGAGCAGCTGCCTGCAGGACACTGAAACAAAAGGAATGATGGAAAACAAACGGGTGTGGCAACATAAAACAAACATTTAAATGAAACCAAGAGACTGGGAAATCCAGGGACGGAATATAGGAATGAACCCAGAAATCCCAGCATAAAGAAAACCAGACATAGAAAAACTAAACAAGAATTGTAAAAAGAGTACTGGGTACTAGAAGCCATTGCCAGAATGATCCGCAGCTAGGAACAGGATGTGACACTAAGTAAAAAATTACTTAGTATTTGTAAATGCTGCCCCTACTCGCTATACTGCGCGTAGGATCATTTCTACTAAACAGCCTGGCCATAAAAGATAATAAGGGGAGGACCTTTAGATCCATTTAACACAATTTAATTAACTTAGCAACAGGTGTCAAGTCCTGGGAAATAAAGTGTGGGAACTCACCCAAGTTCCACCCCCCCCAAAAAAAAAATATCAGGCCACCTCTTGGGCCCCCCCATGACAGGGGGAACACATTTGGGGCGGTATTTTTTGCCGCCACCAGAAATTTTCGGGCCCCTAACAGAACAAATGGTCTGGCCCCCCCCCCTACTTAACCACACCCCCTCCCTTGCATAGTTATTTTATCCAGGTCTAGTTTCAGATATGATCATTCTTAATAGAAAGGAGTCTCTTCATCTATAGTTTGGCCTAAAAATAGTAAGCCTGCCACCACGTCAAGGTAGACTCTTTGAGACAGTGAGGTCTATTAACTAACCTGGGAATAGCTAATTAATTATTAGAGAATTGAAATATTGAAGCCAAATTAGCAGTTTTCCTGCAGTATGCCAACTATTTTGCCCTTGGATGGATCAATTCCTTCTTTCTTACAAAGCATACTAGTCGCTTTGACACGATCAGACGAAAATTCCAAGCAGATCATACAATACAGAACATTCTTGGTAGGACTCCACTTGAGTCAGTCCCGAATATGTCTCTCTCGTCCATTAGATGACTTTGAATATATGAGGAACTCACTAAAGGATTGTTCTTTATAATCTTTATCCATACCTTTAATCATTTCTTTTAGTTCCTCCTCTTTTCTTAGCCCACCAATCACAATTTTTTCCCGGTCTTTGTCTTTCAGAACATCTGGCCACAGAGCTGGATCTTTCCAATCCAATTCTTCCTGTACAATTTCCTGTGTGTTAGAAACGCTGCTTGGAGCTTCCATCTCTTCTTGTAACGGTTCAACTAGAACTTCAGGGTCAGTTGTGTTAGATGTGCTGCAGAAAGCGATCTCCTTTTCTGGTTCTTGATGATGTACTTCATCTTCCTCAGAGTCAGTCTGCATCATAGTTGTTTGCTCCGTATGTTTTTCCTTTTTAACATACTTCATTAATGGATTCTTCTTTTTCAGTTTTTCCTCCTCTTGCTCTCGTTCTCTCTTTTCTTTCCTCTTCTGCGCTCCAGATTTGTGCAGATACATTTTGATGTATTTATTACGGACGGAACCGCACTTATATCAATGAGCCAAACTACAGCTATTACTACAATACTGTGAAGAATTTCCAAAACCCCAAATACGTGATACTATATCAAATGTCAGTAAATAACAGTAAATATGTGTTTGCTCTCGAAAATTTATTAATGCTACCTATTAAGTGCAAAAGTCAAAATAAAAACAGACTCTCAAACAATGTAGAAAAAGGATACGATTAAAGGAGAACACAGAAAAAAGATTTAGTGGCAAGATGTATAAATGTAAACTTTCAAAATTGTGCAAATTCAATTGCATATAAATAGACAAATGCAATAATATATTAGACAATATTATCAAAAACAAATAAATACTCAAATCATGTAGAACCAGACATGAGTACCAATGGCTAACCACACAAGGTAAAAATTTAAACTTTTAAAACTGTATAAATTTCATGAAAAAGTGCAAATAAATAATAAATATAAATATCAAAACAAACAAATAATGCAGGAAACAATGAGCAAATATATACAAAAATGTGCAAATAGTGCAGTGCAAACAAATTTTACACAAATTGACTTGCTCGATGTGTTTTAATACAACTTACCAATGTAGTAATCTTCAGATGTCCTAGGAAGTTACAAGCACGTATGTGGTCAAATAACAGACAGAAATACTCACCTTTCAGGAAAATTGCAGGTGTCCATCAGTCGCAAGGTCTGAGCAACAAGAAACAAACAAACACACTGATGCACAGAGACACACACATTGACACAAACAAACATACATTCACAATGTGCATTTGGCTCTGTGTATTTCTAAATGTGTCTGAGAGTGTGTGTCAGACAGCAAGTATCCTTGTGAGTGAATGTGTGTCTCTGTGAGCATGTGTGTGTCTGGGACAAATGTGAGCAAGTGGAAGCTCGTATGTATGGGGGGCAGATTGTGATCTCTGTGCATTGTGTTTATGGAGAAGCTGTATTTCACGACTGTGTATGATTACTGTCTTCAGGGTGTAACTGTGACAGGGGAATATAGGG